TGGCATAGATAATGTGTTTATATTGCTATCGGCCTGGAGAGCCACAAATATCAACGAATCCCTGGAGCGACGTATGATGAAGTCATTTTCGGATGCAAGTGTTTCAATTACGGTTACGTCAATGAGCGATATTATTTCATTCTTGGTTGGCTGTATCTCTCCATTTCCTTCAATACAGGTCATATTCAATCTAATCACTTTAAGCATTTATATTACGCAATAATATTTGTGGCTTTCGATGGTTCTGATAAGATTATATGCTTATAGCAGGCTACTCAGGTTCGAGGGGTTGGAACCTCGTTTCAGTTGATGATGCAGAAGAGGACAGAAATTTCATTAGAAAATATTGCAACTAATAATATCCTCTAACTTTCAGATGTTCTGTGCTTATGCGGTTGTCGCTGTTCTCTTCATCTATATCTATCAGCTGACTTTTCTTGCGGGTACGACTTCTTTTGACCGAATGGTAATATGAAACGAAACCAGAAAAAGCATCGCCTCATTCTTTTGATTTGTTGCGTTTAAAAACACAATCCGAAATCATAGAAATGTCCGGCTGAGTGCTAATAATTTGCCCCATTCTAGGAATAATGGCACTGACTTGTAAACGGGAAGTATCACATCGGCATTGTTTGACGTTTGCAATTGTTGAAAATCATCTAACAAATCATCTGAACAGAGTCACTCCAGTGCCCAAATTAAGTAAGTTCGATATTTTCATTCTATTTTGTTTCTTCAGGCCAGTAAGTATGAGGCAAAATATTAATGAATAACAATATTTCGAGGGTAATCAATCTTCCAAATGATATTCCACACAGCGCGTAATTCATTATCTATCATCCGTAAAGAGCGTTAGCTATAAGATGACTTAATATTAAATGGTTCTCGTCCAAAGTGCAATTTTTAATTCTCAACATGCTGTGTTATTAATTAGAAACAACTTCGTAATTCTTCAGCAACGTTAACTATGATATCTGTAATCGTTGAGTGTAATTTCTGTTCAAGTGATGTAATTGTCAGTGGTCCGATATCGCTAACGAAATCGTTAATTTACTGTGCTTTTCAGATCCAAACATGAATCCCTCAAAATTCAATGACTTTGCCGAAGAAGGTGAATTTGAGCGACGAACGGAACAGTTCTCATCAAAAAATCATGCATTAGCTGAATTTTTCCGAACAACTTATTCTGACGCATTGCTAAATCCTTTTATTCGTTTAGTAATCATTATTCTATTTAGTTTCTATATTGTGAGTGTTTTATTTTTCAAGTTCAAATCATTTATTATTTTCACGCTTCATTATTTCCATCCGGTTATTGGAATTGACCATATGCCATATGCCGTTCGGAGAAAAGACAGCCAAAAACATCATCAGTGCGAATTTGAATCTAATTAAATTGATTTTGCACATGCATTTTTCGAATAAGGCGACTAAAAGTGGAGAGGTGAACAAACATCAAACGCGATAAGTGATTGTTCTGTTTCAGGTAGTTTCGATTATCGGATACCTCAATGTTAAAGTTGGTCTTGAAGCCAATGATCTGTTACCCGAACGTTCTTATGGCAGAGATGCACTCGAAGACGCCGAAAAATATTTCTCTCGTTTGTTACTTTCATCAGCTGTTTGATCGACCGATTGATTGAATGAAAGATCAAATTGGCAGCAATAATTGGACAGACACTGATTTTCGTCGAAACAAAATTCTCTACGATTTTCGAAAAATGAACGAACACTTGAAATACATCTGCGGAGACTCCAGATTGAACAGCATATAATTGTACTGTTAAGATTCACCGAGTTATCTGCACGTTTGGATGCATAATCTTTCGTCCATTGGAAATAATCATCGTAAACTATGGAAGGTGCTTGATAAAGAGATTGAGCTATACGAATATACCGAATATACTGGTGCAAGCGATTTTTGGTAAGAGTATATTCGAGATACGAATGTGAAAATATCAGTGAATGCATTAGAACAATGTTTAGAGTTGCTGCTGGCCGACCGCAGCTGAATAAATTTGCAAGTTAAAAATTTGCAATTTGCAAGTAAGAAGTTGAGCAATAGGAAGGGCAACCGCACTGCCTTGTTCGTTCTATTTCATTAAGATGATAATCTTACACAATTTTTTTTCAAGACTGAATGACATTTCGATGGCAAAATCATTAATTTTTGCAGGCTTCGTGCATTCAGTTCAACGATTCAACAATCAGGACTTCAATTAACATCTGATAATTTCGCATTTTTAGTGCGAGATAAATTCCTCTCGAAGGCACACTTCGCTAGATACAAACGGTTGATATTTGATTCATTGAAATTGTCTTTTGATCTTCTTTGGATCATTTGGTACGTTGTTACATGATAAAGTTCAAAAATTTCAAGGCAAAGTTGTGAGATGAATGCCAAACAACCGCTTTCATTCAGATAGCTTTCAGAGTGAACGAAGAAAAAACTAACCGTAAGTAATTGAGATACTCGTTAAACTGATGTTGAAAAAAAAAACATAACACCATTCAGGGATATCATCTTCAACAAGAACTACACCTTGCTGGAAGCATCTCGTGCGATTGTTGAATTAAGGTTCGTAGGAGCACACAATCAAACCAGAGCGATGCATTTGTTCAGGCGCATTGCCGAAAACAGTCGACTACTTCCTACGAACGTCTATGCTGATTTCTTTCAAGTATGAGTTATGGATTTATTCACTGGAGACTGGAAAGATTTCATGCATACTGCGAACGTTTCTATTCATGCAAATTATGGATATTCCCTAAATCGTTGACCACTGATTCCTCATTATCATTACATTATCAGCGATGCCTAATCACATGAACGTAGGCGCGTTCATGATCGATCTGTGGAGAGAGACAATGAGCAACGATTAATTTGCCAGTTCCGTTAATGAAATAATGTTTCAGTTTGCTGAGCAATACAACGCCGTTCTGCCAACCACTGTGACCTCAATGTTGATTGCTGGTGTTGCTGTGATGGTCGTTTCATTGCTATTGATCCCCGAGACGACAGCCTCAGTCTGGGTGGCAGTAACCATACTGAGTATTAATTTAGGCATAATTGGTTTTATGACATTTTGGAACGTTCGACTCGACTTTGTCTCGATGCTAACAATTGTTATGAGTATTGGGTTTTGTGTTGATTTCGCTTCTCACTTCGCATATAATTTCGCCAAGGTTATCTTAAATGTTCAACTTATTAAATTTTCAAATCATTTCTCATAAAATAATTTGCCATATTAATGCAATACCCACATTCATCACCTTCTTTGATGGCACAGAATCATGTCCAAAGCATTTATAATTGTCACTTTCCTTGTAAAATGATCATTAACGGTATTGGATTGCTTTATCGGTCAAATCTTTAAACGAAATGAGTTTTTTCACTCACTGCTCCTTAACTAATCGATGAATTCATCTTTATTCAGCCAGAAGATACCTTTCATTTAAGGGTTCAAATCCAGATGCGTCTCAGCGAATGCGCTATGCTCTTTACGTTGTTGGCACACCGATCCTTCAAAGTTCATCGAGTACAATTTTGGGTGGGTTATTGTTTTAAAGGCATATCACCACAATGCTATTAGTGACACTAGCAAAGTAACGAATATCTATTTCGCTGATCTATACTATCATATTACATCAAATTTTATTCACAAAAATGCTTTACTTTCATCACAAAAATTTTCAAATGAAGCAAAGAGTACCAGTCAAGGTACTCAAATGTTTGCTCAGTAGCTATACGCTGTTTTGATGAGATCTTAAAAGGAATATTAATTCATCATGATTGCTTAATCTCAGACCTTTAATCTGATGAAACATTTCCATCGTTGCATGTCATACAATGACGTGAGACAAAGTGACTGTATTTAGGCATATCTTTCATGATATCAGCTGATAGCTATGTGTTTCGATCATTTCTTAAAACCATCTTTCTCGTGATCACACTTGGCACATTACACAGCCTTGTTATCCTGCCAGTTTTTCTCACTCTCCTTTATACGAATGAGACGACGGATCAACTTGAACGGTTATCATCACTATGTCATTGATATTTTATTTACATTCCAAATAAGTTGTCCTGATTGAGATAACGGGAATTAACAAAGAAAAATGTTTGTAAATCCGAAAATCTTGATGCAAAAACTGAGCGATTAATAATACTGAACCATGATAAATTTAGACTGGATATATTATAATATGGTTACCACGAATAATTCAAATTCCAGGGTTGAATGCGATCAACCGAAACATCAGCATTCACCAACTTCCGGTTTCTATCGGTCAAGAAGATAATTGTATTAATAGTGTCTCCTCCAAAGGCGGTTCTCTTATCGCCTAGGAAGGCTCCATTCCATATCGGCATACCGTTCCCATATTCAGCAAGGATCCATTTGACTTTAAGTTAGGAGAGCTTGATTTACTCATCAAAAGAACGTATCAGAGTATTTATCAATAAAACATTTTTACAGTTGTTCTTAACAATGAATGAATTATGAGATGCTGAAGGTTAACTGGTTGCGAAAACAATAAGTACGCGATCCTAATTCGCTTATCCAAACAATTAATGTCGACAACTTCAATTAACTAACGAAACTTTTATTCTACTTTTGCATGCACCATTCTTCTAAGCTCAACGTACACTATACAATAAATATTACATCAATCACTGTCGGTCAAACATTGGAAATGGAAATTAACACGATTAATCTAGCACAAATATTCTCAATCCCAAACCAACCCACCCGAATCTTCAGAGGAATGAAAAGTATAAACACAGAATCAAAGCAGTCAGCACTAATGGAACAACTTTTAGAAATGAAGAAATTCATGCACATCATAGCGGAAATCATATTTTTTGATGAGGAATTCAAATGGTAAACTAATGAGATGATAAATTGATCATTCGTGTACAATGGCGATTAACGACGAAAAAGAAGGCATGTATTCAGAGGAACAAACAACGACGTCAAATAACTTATACGGATTGCACACATCTTGAAATCACTTAATGATCACGTTTTTCGATATCAGCTGTTCAGAAAGTTGTTATCTCATACAACATTGCATCGTTCATGAAGAATTTTGCGCATATCTTTACTGATTGCGAGATACTACGATGACGTTAACATGAAAGCATCCAATTGAAAGTAACAATTCGATTTAACTGAATGTATCAACTGAATGTTGTACGAAATGAATTTCTTCATTCGAATTTAATTCGACCTGTCAAAAAGTACAATGGCATAACAATAAGCAAACACTTATGTCCGTATGAGATGTTAAGAGTGAGCACTTAAAGAGAAACAATAAATAGCACCACTTCTAGAAAGGACACTCCGTATTAATACTAATTGTATTAAATGTGAATAAATATAATACAGTGAAATTACTAAATACAAGTACAAAAAATTGTAAAATTATTTCAGCGTGCAATCTACACTGGTCGAAATTTAACTCCAAAACGACCTCATTATTACTGCAGAAGAAAACGAC